TTATCATCACCCAAGTTGCTCCACCGCACTTCCAGGACAAACCAAGAGCTCCTCATCAGGTTCATTTACGCGCCAATCAATTGTTTAATTGTTCCATTACCGCGAGAGACGTATTGACTGTCGAAGGACTTGCTTCACAGGAAGAGGTATTTAATTTAATTTAAAACTAAATCCCAAAGCAAAAACAAGAATATCAGCACAATCATTGACTCCATAAAGCAAATACTGTGTAAAACATCAACAAATTACAGAAATATAGGCTTTCAGTGTTAATAGAAAAAATACCATTTAGGGATACGCTTTTCTGCAGTAAAGTCCAATGTGAAGACGCCACTCTCTGATGCAGTAACTGAAACATAAAAACGGACGCCAGTCATTGCAAAAGAATGAAATACTCCGTTTTCGTCGAAGGTGAAAGCTATCATAGCCATTGACATTTTTAACTACCGAAAAAAGAAGTTCATGGAAAGACTTCAGAATTTCGCTTTCCGGTGAGAATTAAACTATTCTTCTCGTCAAACAGGAAACTTAAAATTTTAGCCTACCAATTTGCTTTAAAAACAAAGAAGCAAAATCGTATTAACAATAAAACGATTAAGATACAGCCGCTCTAATGCCCAAGACAAGAAAAAGAAGTAATGGGAAAAAAGAAAAAGCTTTTAGCCAGTAACATTATAAATAAAAATCCACACGCGTTCGACAAGTTGCCTAATAGACGACTAGCAAACAACCCTCAATCTGCACAAATATCAAAATAGATGCTGAAGATAGTGGCGGGAAAGCAAAAACAAAGTACCTGCAAAATGTCGAGGTCTCGCTCGATTGAAATGCCAACGAGAAAGTCAATGCTCCGGCTTATTGCAAGCTGAAAGAGGAGAATTGGAGTATCATCGGACATCGATGAGGAGTCAGATACATAATCAAAAACAAAACTTGTCAAAGATTTTTAGATCTTCAGTGTATCTTATGTCTCATAGTAAATGCATTTTTATGAACCTTCTCAAATCTTTTTGGGATTATGGCCACCTCTTTCTTTTGAACTGCTCCAAGAGCTTTTACAGCAACGTGCTCCATACTACCAAACCACTTCTTACGAACAAGGGACTCTGGTACCCAATTAAATAAATGAAGACGATCTCTTAAGATAAGCGAGCGTTAAAAAAAAAAAAGTATGAACATCACCATAAGAAGATTTTAATACAAATAAATAATCCTGATCTGAGAACATGTGAAGTATGTGGCTCCTTTTTCTCATCTAATCCTGTCCCCGCAAGCACAGCCCATACTTGGTGATCCATGGCGCTCAATGGAGGGGGGAAAATCATCCATCGTCAACTATATATATACACACACATGTATAAGGCGTGGGTCTCAAGCAATTAATCAGAAGCCTTAATTGAACGACAGCTTAGAATCAATCAACCAAATCAATCATGTAACGTTCAAATTACCAATTAAAAGCATTTGTTGAACTACCGTTTAGAATAAATCAATAAGTAATCAATCAAATCAATCAAGTAACGATCAAATTAGTAACGTTCAAATCAGAAACATTGTTCAATGCAAGCTTATTTTTTCCTTATTAAATTCGTGGCTCTGTTATATTGGGGTTATTAATATATTAGAAGGAAAATTCGTCGGCAAAAAAAAAAACAGTTAGAAGGAAAATTACTTTACAAAATTTTTAGAGGCTAAATATATGTAAAAAAATATTTTATGGTGTTAAATGTATTTTTTTAAGGTGACAATGTACCTTTTTTTATAATAATATTGAATGTAACTTCCCTAGGTAAGATATAAAAATAAACTTTGAGAAAGTTCATGTTCAGGCTGTTCTTTTTGAAAATACAATTTTTTGGGTTGACTATGGTAATGCAAATTTAATTACACATATATTATTTTCTTAGTATTGCATAAAGGAAAGAATTATAATGATGCTAGTTACAAAAAAAAAAAAGGAATTTTGGCAAAAAAGAAGGAGAAGAATTACAAAGTGGTTTTTTTTTTTTTTTTTTTGCGATTATCAAAATCAATTGATACAAAGGCTACAAAAGAGGGAGAAAAATCGCAAAGTCATGAGGAAAAAATAAAATTGGAATGGAAATATTGCTTATTTATCGAAGGGTGTTCAGAAAATCTGTGTAGCATGTAATTTAAAGGGTTTGCTTTAACAAATGGTTTCATGGTCAATATCCATACTGAGAAAATAGATTCAGTTAACGATTAAATTAAAGCTATTGCCTAATAAAAATAGCAATTTAATAAAAATTATACTACTTAATTAAATTATTAGAGCCCTGACAAAAAATTAAGTTATGAGGGCTGTCTTATATGAAATAAATAAAAGTTCTAAAGTATGCTCTAATTATCATATGTTAAATTTATATTTATTAAGCATTTCAAACTAGTCCATCATTACATCATTTTTTGTAGAAAACAAGTGTTTTTATGAATGGTGTTAAACTGTTATAGATATAACTCATTAAATTGTGGATTTTGTTTAATTATGTTAATTTTTTTGAAATATTTATTTTATTAATAATTATTATTTTTCACAAATGGATCTTACAAAATTGGGACTACATTAGTTAATGCAAAAGCCATCTCCATTATGCGATGTCAACTGTCAACAGTTTAAAATATATTTTCGTAACTAACTATCAACATCTAAGGGGGTGTTTGAATGAGGCAAAACCATAGTTTGGAGAATAGTTTCTGGAGAATAGATTCTGGAGAGAATAGATTTTGAAAGAATAGATTTTCTGAAAAAGTGATTCTGATAAAGTGAGAGTGTTTGGATAATTGTTGTCAGAAGTGCTTTTTGATATGTAGAAATTACTAAAAAGGACATAAGTTTAAATGATAATTACATGTAAGATATATTTCATAATATATGTTTACTTGAAGTAATAAATTTGTTAATAATATATATTTTGGCAACATAATAAATAAGACATAAATAATATAATTAATAAAAAATTAAAGTGTATATATATTAATAAAATAATTAAATATGTTTTTAGGAAAATGATTTACTTTGCCAAAAAAAAAATTATTATTTCTTAAAAATTTTAAAGATGAAATCCCATATTTTTTTTTTTTCACAAAATTAAATAACCACACAAAAAAATTTCATATTAATTGTCTTAATAATAGAGGTTGCAACGAAATATATTTGTCCAAGTAGTTTTTTTTAACAACACATTACATTATCTGAAAAGAAAAAAGAAAATAAAAGGGACATGATTATTCTTATATATAGTGAATAATTTGATCTCTTATGGAGTCACGAAGACAAGCCATGTGAAATGAAGATTCTATTGATGAAGGTATTAAGACCTTGTCTATATATTAACTCTCTAATTAGGTTTTACATTAATGACCGGAATAATAATCTTACATTTAAGACCAATATTAACTCTCTAATTAGGTCCTACATTAAAAACCGAAATAATAAATTTATTAATTTTTTTTGCCAACATAATAAACAATGTATAAAAACATATATTAACTACTATATCCAGTTGTAAATGTAAGAGTTAGTTGACTAATTTGAGTAAATTAAAAAAATAAGTTAAGTTAGTTATTTGTAATAAACAGGTGTTGCCTTCCTACAATATCCCTATTAATCAAGTTTATTGGTTATAACTTAAAAAACGATAAACAAATATGAGAAATAAAGTAGATTGAGGTTTTATATTTAGGACCAAATAAAAATCAAACGAGGTCTTACATTAAAAACAAGATGTGGTAATTATTAATATGTGTATATATAATTATAAAATATAAGATTATGTTTTTAGAAAACTAAATAATTACTTTCAACCAAAATAAAAATTACCATATGCAGGGGGTGGGGGGAGAAACATTCAAAAAGCAAAATTTTTTAACTTATTACAAAACCTTGGTTTTGATAGGCAAACCATGGTTTTATGATAAAACCATGGTTTTGAAAAATTGACAGGGGTTTGGGTAATTTTTTCCCAAACCATGGTTTGGGCAATCACCCAAACACCCCCGAAGTTGAATACGACTTCATGTTAAGGATTTTACTCAAATAAAATATAAACATTCACAACCAATGGATGGAGAATATTTGTAAGTCTCATATCATAGAGGGGAAAAAAAGCATCAGAGTTCATAGAAAATTTTAATCTTTTATAGATTTATTTAATTTTTTCAAAAAAAATTGGTTTCTAAACTAAATATAAATCATTCAAATGAAATGAATTATAAATATTATCTCAAATTAAAATAAATCATTTTTAAATTTATAGAAAAAAATCTAAAAATATGAAATATGGAGTCCTGAAATTACTTTCTAAAATTTAGAGCATATTATAGGAAGTATAAAAGAGAAGCTGCTCGAGTTATTATATTTATAAAAAAAAAAAGGGAAAAAACTTAATAATTTACCTAACAATTATGTTTCTTTACATTGTCAACCACATTGACTGTGATTGTGTCACAAGTTCAAATGTTTTTTTTATAAAATTAATTCTTTTATCCTAAAATCACTAGGAAACAAGGTATATGACCTTATATTAGTTTTGTGATCCATAAGCAACTATTTAACCACTCGGTGCTGTGGTTAAAATTGTATGATTTCATCCAAAACTGAATTGTTCATATCAGTCTTCTCATTATCACATAAGTCGAGTTGCAATTACATGAATGTTAAAAGATAAGTGTATTTTGAATATTCTGGAACTATCAAAATGTGTCTTGTGTTTCAATGGTACTGCTTCATCCTTCTGATTTAATTAAGCTCTTTTGTAGACTCCAAACATGGCCATGACCACAACTACAATTCGCACCCTATCAACAGGCATAATACGATATATGAACAAGACATCAAGAGGAGCAACAGAATGCTATGTAATATTAGCAAATACTTGCGTTTAGCCGTGGCAAATGAGTTCCAATATAATTTATAAGCTTCATGCCAATGGCTATTATGTTTGAAATAAGCAGGAATGGTGTGTAATATTAGCCAAATGCTTTGCGTAGTGTGGGAGTACAGTCTTGTTTAGTAATATACTATGAACAAGACATCGAGAGACTGGCAATAGTATTAAAAAAGGATTATGAGAGGTTACATCTAAATAACCTGTTAATTAAGAGACACAAACAAGTATTTTCTAGCAGAAGAGTAAGCATGAAAGATTCAAACAAGAAGAGAAATTAAATCAAGAAGCATGAAAAGCAAGGTTGTGATCTGCTTCCTCTTGTAGTTGCAATGCCCGTTCAAGTAGCACTTCAGCTTCTCCCATATCTGGCCTCTCATCGGGATCGAAACTCAAGCAACTCTCTGCGATGTCCATATACAATTTCCAGCACTCCGCTGCTATTTCTCCCATCAAACTCTGATCAATAATTCCCTCAGCACGTCCCGTTTCTGCCAAATTACGCAATTCCCTAATAAAGCGAAATTCATTCTGCACATAACTGCGGGTAGAGGCTTTCCGCAAATTAGTCGTAACAAAAGTGCCCCAAAAGAATAGACGTCACTTTTATGCGTGACGTTAGCGTGTTTAAGGGACTCAGGAGCGATGTATCCAGTAGTACCTCTAACAATTGCCTGTATAGGCCTCACATCCTTTTCTGAAAACTTTGGTCCTTTTAAAGAGAACCAGCAAAATCTGAGTTTGGGAACCTGATGATGCCTCTTGTCGTCAAAGCACTCAATTAAACTAGGTCCCAATTAATTTGTAGTTTAGGGTCAACCTAGGTCATTACTTCCAAGGAGCAAGTTATGGGTTTCTTTAGGTAAAAATTCAGGTGATAAAAAAAATGCAATAAATTGGACCTAAACTAAAATGCAAAATTCTAACTCTAAATGCAAGATGCAAATATCCTAAAATCTATATGAAAATTAAATTAAACTAAATGAATGCAATGCAATTTTTGGGGGGTTTTTTTGAAGGAAAATAAAAATAATGAATAAAGAAAATTAATCAGAAAGAAAAGAAAATTAAGAAGTGAAAATTGAGAAGTTCTCTTCAGGTAAGGTAGAGGGGACAACTTAGGATTTGCATGGATTTAACCTTCATAACCTTAATCAGTTAATTAGACTAAAGGGAAGTGATAAGAGAGTGGAATTAATAAACTTAATCACCTATTTGAAACAAAGGGAACCCTCAAATTCAAAAACCCTTAAACCATTAGAGAACTCATAACAATGTAAGGTTGGTTAATTAAGCCTATTAAAACCAATGAAGATAATTCAATTTAATTTTAGAATTTATGTTTGAAATTATCCAATTAAACAATCAGATAATCAACCAACTTAATTGAATAATTAAGAGGTGAAAGAACCCAAATTTTGCAAGTCAAATCACATTGATAATTAAACTCATAATGAAAACTCAATTATAAATTCAATTAACAATGCAAAGGTTCTAAACATAAATTCCAACAAGTATCTTGGCACAAATAAGATCCAAATATCAATTTAATCCAAGAATAAAATTGACAACCTAGAACTAAATTGTCTCAACAAAATTACAACTTGAACTCATTTAAAACTAAACAATTTCAAGTCCTTAAATTAAAAAGATAAATGGAACATCACTCCCTTGTGATCTTCAAGTGCTAGCCCAAGGCTCAAGTCTCCTTCATGCTCCTCCCAAGTTGCCTCCCTAGCAAGCTTAAGCTGCCATCAAAATGTCTCTTCCTCCAAACTTGTTAGATGCCACGGCCATGAATGATGGGTGTAGATGAGAAGCTGTGCGTGCAGTGAGAAAAAAATGAATGGATGATGATGAGGGGTGATGATGATTGTTGGGTGGACGTGGAATGAAAAGGAAAAATGGAAAAGGGCGTGAGGCTAGAGGAGTAGCGGTGAAAGGGGAAGATTTGACGTTGGGTTGATGATGGTGTCAATGGAGATGGAAAGAGAGTGATATGTAGGTGTGCTAGAGGGATTATTTTAGGAGAGAAAAGGAAATTTTCTTGGATCCAAAACTCAAGCCCATTAGTAATTAACTGACCCACTTGATATTAGCCATTGGATTGTGCTTAAATTCCAAGAAACAATCTTGCACCATTGGATTTCCCATATACTCTTTCTTGACCTACAAGAATTTAAGTGCATCCATTAATGTAGATTATATCCAAATATAATCAAAAATTAAATATTAAATCTGCACAAAAATTAGGCAAGAAAGTGCAAAACTTTCTAAAAATAGTCTTTCTAAAAATATGAGACTTGTTTCCAAAGAAATAGGAAAAATTAATTCCAAGTCGAAATAGGAAATCACAAAATATCTATATTTTAATCCAAAATCTCAATTTTTATGCAAAATCTAAAAATCAACCAATTAATCCAATTATGCATAAAAAATCTAATTAAGCTCAAAATTATCATTTAAATCCTGAATTAATGTAGGATAAAATATATAAAAATTGGGCTTTATCAATTCCCCCACACTTAGCCTTTGCACTCCTGGGCAAAGCAAATGAAGACCAAAGAACAAAAGAAAAATCTAACAAAGGTGAATGTTCCAATTACAAGAAAAAGCAAGCCAAAGCATTCAACATCTCTCTTATCCAAGTGATCTTCTCATGAATCAAGAAAACAACATCATGGCAATTTACTTGACAAAGGGGAATCTAAGTTAGAAATCCCTCACCAAGGTTAATGTGTATGTCACTCATCACTCAAAAGTGTATTGGCTTGTGTTTACACTCAAAATCATCCTACCCAATCCTCTTTCCATAGGCTTGACAAGAATCTAAATTCTCCACCAATCATAAAGCAATTACAAGCATAAATCAAAAGGACTTTTATTAGGTTGTAATGGGGCTAAGGTAAAAAAGAAAGGATATAGTGTTTGAGAAAACAAAGGTGAACATCTTAGGAAATGAAGAGAGTCAATAAAAAAAATATAATGGAATGTAAGAAACTAAACTAAACTTGAATTGGGTCATTCTTTTTCTTCTTCTTTTTTTTTTGCTTTTCTCTTCTCTCTTTTTTTTTTCAGCTCCCTTTTTTTTTTTTTACTTTCTTAGGCCGTTATATATATGCTCTTTTGACGCGAACCTTCATATTGGTGATACAAAGGCCCGGTTACTCAAGCATGGATAACTCATTGGCACTAAGATGCTACTAGCACGCTCATAGCCCTTACTGGCCGTTTGACGCGAAGATCAACATTGGTGATGAAGATCCCTGGTTACTAAGCTCAGCTTAAACTAGAGGAGCGGAATCTTATTACAATATTTTTTTTTCTTTTTTTCAAATTGACCCAAACCATAACTCCAAATGTGTTCCTCCATCCCAAGCACATATAATATAACACTCTTCAACTCCTAAGACATTCAAAAAGGGTAAGATTTTTTTTTCCTATGGGTTAAGAGAAAAAAAATGATGAAGGCTCAAAAGGGGTTAAGCAAAGGATAAATGTAGAAAAGGGTAGGCTTTTGGCTTATCTGGCTAGAAAAATTAAAATGAATGCCTTTATCATCTTTATGAATGCAAATGCACAGACGTGGTCTCAAACAAGATTCAAGTCAAGTTCTAGATTGAGAAAAGAGATAGGAGTATACACACATGAAATGAAGACGCGTATCAGGCTCAAAACCTCACTAGGTACATGATTGCTAGCTTAAATTCACCTAAGTCAAATCCATTGCCACTTAGCTTATCCGCTCAAAACATGATCAATCACTTTTCAAATCAAGAATGCATCATACTTGAATCACTTCAAACTTGCAATCTTCACATTCAGGATAAAACAAACAAACAAAAATTTTGAACAGAAAATTTCTTTCTTTTCTTGAAAATAAGAAACAAAAACCAAAGTAAAAACCAAAATATTTTTCTTTTCCTCATTTTAAAAACAAAAAATAAAAACCAAAAGTAGGAACAAAATCCCTCCTCCACACTTAAACCATGCATTGTCCTCAATGTGAAATGCACATCTAACCAATACCAACAAGTAACGCAAGTAAAAGAGGAAGGGAGGAATACGACCAGATGAGCAGAAGTTTGAAGACCCAAATGAAGCAGTAGAGTTGGCATATCTCCTTTGTCTGGTGGCAAGTCACATGAAAGCACCATTGGTATTTGCTTTTGATGTTCAAAAGACATTATCTCCTTCTTTAAGATCCTCAAAAAACGCTTTAATTCAAGTATGGAAGGTGTCTGGATAGGAGGAATCAATTCATATACCTGCACAAAACCATGACTCCAAGCAATATCCTGTCTCGTAAAAATATAATCAATAAACTCAACAAACTTTTCAGCAATTAAGGAAGATCCCAAAATAAATTGATGAAAACAAAGACTTGGAACTCCCAAATATTTTGAACAACCCACAAAATCAATATGACCCTCCTCAGTAAGAGTCAAGTTTGTTAGAGAATGAAGTGACAGGTGATTACTCAAAGTGGTCTCCCCATGCTTATCATCATCATTACACAAACCAAATTCTACATGTGAAGTCTCATTAGGCAACATGTCCTTACTATTTAAGTGCACATCCAACTCAAGATTTCCCCCACACTTATTCTCAACAACATCCTCGTTAACAACAGTCATGTCAAGGACACAAGTAATATCAGTAGAATCAAAAGAAACACTACCTTTATCATGTAAAGCATTAATACACAAATGAGCATCCACACTCAAAGAGGATGTATTATCTTTGAACTCAATAATGGATGGGAATTCAACAACAATCTCTTCATCAATTTCATCATCAGAATCATCTTGCTTAAAATTCTCTATCAACCCACAAAAATCAATAGAATTTGAATCAGAGGTATAGGAAGAAGTATCAACACATGAATTGCAAGATGCAACATTATTTGACTCAATAGAACCAGTCAATCCAGAAACATCATCAGTGCATGCATATTTGGTTACTGTACTATTCATGTCATCATGTGAGACGGTAGGAGCAAAAGGATATGGATCATTAGAGGGTGAAAATGTACTATCATATGATAATTCACCATTTGTTTCCAATTCTCCACTTTCCAAGTCGCTAATTGCATTAGACAACTGCTGAATTTGAGTTTGTAGAGTCTGAATCGCTTGATTGTGTCGCAATTCCCTTTCTTCAAACTTGTTTAGTAGGATTTGCATCATAGTTTCCAGCTTGTTCTCTAACTTTAAGTCTTCTTGAATAGGCATAACTTGATGGACATATCCAAGATTTGAGTAATCTTGCCACATTGGAATATTAGTCATAGTCTCCAACATACTCTCTATTCTTGAATATGGATCATATCCCTGTGTCACATCATGGACATAATGATAAGGCATAGAAATATAAGAATGATTTTCATAAGGAGAAGCATTCCAAGCCATCACAAATTTAAGATCAAAAACATCAACACAAATAAAAGAAAAAGAAAAACTAAACTAGCAAAAGAAGGTTGAAAAAAAAAATTCAGAAAAATTAAAGAAGAAAAACCTGGAAAATTGGAAAAAAAAAAAGTAAATTCGAAAAAAAAAACTCAATGAAAATGGTTGAATTTGGCTAAAACAACCTAGCCCTGATACCTAAAGGTATCAAAATTGATCAGCACACCCAAAAACGTCAAAAACCCAAATCTTACAAAAATCTGGGCAGTGAAAAGTTAATTTTCAGAGCAGGATGAATTAGCAAAATCAACCGAAAATAGAACAGGTAAAGGGGAAAATAAAATGAAAAGAAAAAAAAAACAGGAAAAACAAGAGAAATCACCTAGTACTCAAACCTAAAGTTCAACCACTGCTCCCCGGCAACGGCGCCAAAATTGATGATGCCTCTTGTCGTCAAAGCACTCAATTAAACTAGGTCCCAATTAATTTGTAGTTTAGGGTCAACCTAGGTCATTACTTCCAAGGAGCAAGTTATGGGTTTCTTTAGGTAAAAATTCAGGTGATAAAAAAATGCAATAAATTGGACCTAAACTAAAATGCAAAATTCTAACTCTAAATGCAAGATGCAAATATCCTAAAATCTATATGAAAATTAAACTAAACTAAATGAATGCAATGCAATTTTTGGGGGGGTTTTTTGAAGGAAAATAAAAATAATGAATAAAGAAAATTAATCAGAAAGAAAAGAAAATTAAGAAGTGAAAATTGAGAAGTTCTCTTCAGGTAAGGTAGAGGGGACAACTTAGGATTTGTATGGATTTAACCTTCATAACCTTAATCAGTTAATTAGACCAAAGGGAAGTGATAAGAGAGTGGAATTAATAAACTTAATCACCTATTTGAAACAAAAGGAACCCTCAAATTCAAAAACCCTTAAACCATTAGAGAACTCATAACAGTGTAAGGTTGGTTAATTAAGCCTATTAAAACCAATGAAGATAATTCAATTTAATTTTAGAATTTATGTTTGAAATTATCCAATTAAACAATTAGATAATCAACCAACTTAATTGAACAATTAAGAGGTGAAAGAACCCAAATTTTGCAAGTCAAATCACATTGATAATTAAACTCATAATGAAAACTCAATTATAAATTCAATTAACAATGCAAAGGTTCTAAACATAAATTCCAACAAGTATCTTGGTACAAATAAGATCCAAATATCAATTTAATCCAAGAATAAAATTGACAACCTAGAACTAAATTGTCTCAACAAAATTACAACTTGAACTCATTTAAAACTAAACAATTTCAAGTCCTTGAATTAAAAAGATAAATGGAACATCACTCCCTTGTGGTCTTCAAGTGCTAGCCCAAGGCTCAAGTCTCCTTCATGCTCCTCCCAAGTTGCCTCCCTAGCAAGCTTAAGCTGCCATCAAAATGTCTCTTCCTCCAAACTTGTTAGATGCCACGGCCATGAATGATGGGTGTAGATGAGAAGCTGTGCGTGCAGTGAGAAAAAAATGAATGGATGATGATGAGGGGTGATGATGATTGTTGGGTGGACGTGGAATGAAAAGGAAAAATGGAAAAGGGCGTGAGGCTAGAGGAGTAGCGGTGAAAGGGGAAGATTTGACGTTGGGTTGATGATGGTGTCAATGGAGATGGAAAGAGAGTGATATGTAGGTGTGCTAGAGGGATTATTTTAGGAGAGAAAAGGAAATTTTCTTGGATCCAAAACTCAAGCCCATTAGTAATTAACTGACCCACTTGATATTAGCCATTGGATTGTGCTTAAATTTCAAGAAACAATCTTGCACCATTGGATTTCCCATATACTCTTTCTTGACCTACAAGAATTTAAGTGCATCCATTAATGTAGATTATATCCAAATATAATCAAAAATTAAATATTAAATCTGCACAAAAATTAGGCAAAAAAGTGCAAAACTTTCTAAAAATAGTCTTTCTAAAAATATGAGACTTGTTTCCAAAGAAATAGGAAAAATTAATTCCAAGTCGAAATAGGAAATCACAAAATATCTATATTTTTAATCCAAAATCTCAATTTTTATGCAAAATCTAAAAATCAACCAATTAATCCAATTATGCATAAAAAATCTAATTAAGCTCAAAATTATCATTTAAATCCTGAATTAATGTAAGATAAAATATATAAAAATTGGGCTTTATCAGAACCCAATTCTCGTCCAGAAGAATGGCAAGCGGTCTTATATCGCGATGAATGAGGGTGCGTTTGGTTCCGGAGTGAAGGTAGTGTAATCCACGCGCCACCCCTATACTGATTTCTAGTCTTTTCTTCCACGAGATTGTTGCCGACTTGCTATTGAGTTGATCATAGAGTGATAGGTTTGGGGCGTAGTCATAGACCACGATCATTTCATTTTCATCATCGCAAAATCCAACCAGAGACACCACATTCGGGTGGTGTAGCCGGCACCTATATATGATATTGTTCTTAACCAATTGCAAGACTGAGTGCCCGCCTCTTCGGAACCGCTCCACTATAACATCTTTCAGTTCGCCATTGATGGAGATGCAGCCCTTGTACGCCCGATAAAAGTTGTCTGTATGGGTTATCAGGCGTCTGTCAAAGTGGTTGGTGGATTTTCGAAGTTGGGCAAGAGAAAAGCGATGGCATAGATCTTCTATTGTTGCGGAAGGTTGTTGCATAGAAGTTGAACCACGGCCTCCGAAGTACTTGAGAAGGAACGCCATTCCCCTGTATGTGGTGAGAAGAGAGCTGACTACAGATGGAAAGGACTAGAGATAAGAGTCCCAGCGTACGCGTTTTGTAGATCCACAGTCATTTTCAAATCAATTTTAATTTTTCCTGTAATTAATTAAAGGAGAACTCCTAATTAAGAAGGCCCCATCCTCAGCCCATCTTACAATAGTACAGTGCATAGTACATGCCTTAATCTTACGGGACCACCAAGACATACCAAATTCTGTATCGCTAATCTTCATAGTAAAGACTTCATCGTTTATTTATGTTTCAAATTCTGCTTAAGAAATTGCTCTTGACAGCTAGGAAGTAGCATGATTTTGGGCTTATTGTGAAAGTTGATACATCGTAATATATAGTTAGTAGTTTATACTTGATGCTTCTATGCTGAACTAGGGGTGTTCAATTATGTCCCGTCCCGGTGTCTTGTCCCTCTCCCAGTTATTTTGGCACAGGACAGTCCCGTCTTAAAAATTTTTGGGACGGGACAAAAGTGGGACGGGACAAAATTGACTCGGGACAAGACGGGATGTGAGACAAGAGTGTCCCGTTTCTGTCCCGTCCCGAATTATTATCTTTTTTATATTTTATAAATTTACTTAAATTATTATATTAATAATATTATAATAATATAACTTTTATGATTTTATTCTTATCTTCAAAAGAAAGTATAAAAGCAACCTAAATCCCTAATTATCATGATATCTTTTTTTACATTTTATATAAAGCTGGTTTTAAAATAAAAAATTAAAAAAACTATAAGGGACGTCCCTATCCCGTCCCCGTCCCGTCCCGTCCCAGTTGGGATAGGACACCAACGGAACGGGACGAGACATGGGACAAAAAGGTTGTCCCGTCCCAATTTTCAAGACGGGACTGAGACGGGGTCGTCTCTTATAGTAAATGGGATGTCTTATAGTAAATGCATTTTAACAAACCTTCCTAAATCTCTCTGGGATTTTGGTCATCTCTTTTGAATGGCTAGAAGAGCTTATCCAACAAGGGACTCCTAATCTGTCACTGTCACTTGGAGACGATCTCTCAAGGTAAGTGAGCATAAAAGAATGAGAAAATACAAACATCACCACAAGAAGATTATAATACAAATAAATAAACATCATAGAATATTTCAAAAAAGTCAAGGTCATACACAAAGCAACTGAAGGATGCAAAAACAGGTGCCTTCACATCCAAGAGTGCCAGCAGTCTCTATAACAGGAACGCTTTATTTTCCTCTCACATCTGCAACAAGACATTAGTATTATATCCAGAATTGAGAACCACTAAAGAGGAAAAAATGCCTGCAAAAGGTGTTGCAAGATATCAAAAGTGAAAAAAAAAAAGGTGAACTAAACAAAATTACACAAATATTCAGAAAGTCCCACAGTTTTAGTGACGAAGCAGAGTTGCAATACCAACATCAATCAATGCCAGGAAGCCAAAGTATTGGCCTGACCTTCTTGCGGTGGTATCTAACCATAACAGCCTGGAAGCCAAAGCATCATAAGAAGAAAATCAGATATTTCACTACTGCAGCATTTTAATAGAAAAAGCAAAAGCAAAAGCCACGAAACAGAACACATTGATGACGCTAAATGACTAGGAAGTCACGATCCTCTGGTGAAGGTTTGGCATAAATTTCACTTGAGACTCCCCCCAGCAAACAATAATTTACAATTAAAGCATTACATAAATAACAATATATAAATTGAAGACTATATCAAAAGCACCTGTAGATCCAGCCACACACCAATAGAATAAAGCCAAAAAAACGTGCCCACCTGTTCTCAAAACCAGTGTGAACCGAAATCTATGATTTTGTGCAGAGGATCTATTACATTTCCAACTGTTTTAGACATGCTTCTCCCTTGAAAACATTATCATGCAATCAGTCTGCACGCCAGAGTTCACAAAACAATTGTAAGTCATGAGTGAAGTCCCAAAGGTGAAATTAGAACATCCTTACGTCTTGAAAGAAGGATGGCAGGGAAAATCAGAGGGTCAAAAACTGTCTCAAAAATGAAATTTTGAATGAAAGCATTTAAATCATTATTTTTGCAGCAGAATGGTTATCTTGAGAAATTATTAATATGCAGGTAGGAAAGCATTATTTTTGAATGAATGCAATCAGAAACCATTTCGGCTTTTGCTGCAACCCACTGCTATAAAATGAGATGGACTTAAGTCTGAGCTTATGTCCATTAGCTTCTATTTGCAAAGCAACGTGTTTCAAAACTTCAAAATTTTCATCCTTTGCCGCAGAATTGTAACTGTACATTTCTATTCCAAGCAATGAAGGAAGTCTAAGCTCAACCTGGGTCTGGGCTCAAACTTGAACTTTTCCATTCAACCCAGCTCAAATTCAATAACCAAGTTTAGCCGGCCGCCACTGCCATCGTCATTAGAATCCAACCTGTCACCACCACTCATTTGATATGACCAACCATCCTTTGCCACTTTTTCCCCAGTATAACTGAAACAAAGGGACAATTTTCCGTAAGATATTTTTCTAATGGAACCGACAACTGATAAACTTTTGATGAAATTATAATTTTAAAATGAATTTAAAAATATGATAATAACATAAATGAATTGAGCGCTTTAGGAATCTAAAACTATTGACTGTCTCTTCCTGTAGGAATAAAATAAATGACCAATGGACCACTAAAAACAATCTACCCATATTTTGCAAATTGTTAACAGAAGTTAACAGTGGTCATATTTTGGAAGTCTGGAAGCCATGATGCATTACCTTATCAATGTCTTACTCTTATATGTTTCCAGCTGCAAAGTCGTGCTTAAGGTTCTGCCTTGATCTGTTGCTTACGATAACTGGGTCTAGTTAAAGGAGATTCTTAGCCAGCAATGTGCTTCAACTCAAAATAAGATACTGTTGTCAATTGTTTTTGAATCATCAGGCTTCAAACAGCAAGCAATGAACGAAGCATGCTATGTTTGCAATAGTTTGGTGTGCCTGACTCCAAAGAATGCTAAAAGTTTGAAATCACTGTTTTTCGGCACCTTTACCTCCCCATATAATAGGCCTTTTGGCTTCACCAGAGAGCTCTACCAATGACATATTCAGATATATCCCAACAGCTGGTATTGAATGGGAAATGCAAAAACTTCAACACTAATATTTCTTCACTTCCTTTCACTCTTTCCGGAAGGCATTCTATCCTTGGTTTACTTGGTGGCTGATTCCTATCATGCTAAACTTCATCAATATATTTAAAACACCAATAGAAACACGAGTGCATGTATAGACAAAATATCATGAACACGTGACCTGTTGCTAATGCATTAAGGACAGTTCATTTCAAGTACAATGACAAGGAAAAAAAAAAAAACATGATTGAGCCCAGTTCTACCGATGTGCGCAAGCCCAAAAAATTCTCCTACCTTTCGATTCATTAGGAGAGCCACATCACCAAATGAAGTCATTGGTTGTAGCCACTGTCAAGAAATCACTGCTGGCCATTAGTTATCAAGATATCATTGCTCACAGCAACAGAATTTTTAAAGGTGCATCGGCTGAGAAAAAATAAAGTTCATTTCAAAGCTTCACAATCAAATCATCAAATCCAAATGACATGAGCATAATATCAATTTATGCATCCCCCGGGTATAGTGATTGAAAAAAAAAGAAAAAAAACCAACATATTCACTTTAAACAGGAAGAAAAGCAAGAAAACAGATTTGAAATTCAAGACCATATCAAGCAAAATTTTTTTAACTATGCTGCTTCCAGAAAATCACAACCATGGATATAGTCTTCAATAATAGCTCCTTCATAATGTTCATTGATTTTATCAAAAAGTCAAGCTCATACACCAAGAAACTGAGGGATGCATAGAGAGATAACATCACATTCTAAAACTTGTAGCATATCTGCTGGGAGAAAAACCACCAGTAGTCTCCATAACGGGAACGCTTTATTTTCCCTCCACATCTACAACAAGACACTAGCATTATACCCAGCATTGAGAACTACCACAGACGAAGAAATTCCATGCAAAAGGATGTGGCGGTATTTAACCATAATAGCCTGCAAGCCACAGCATTATAAGAATAAATCAGATATTTCTCTACTGCACCATTTTAATAGGAAAACCAAAAGCTAAAGGGACCAAATAGAACACATTTATAACTCTACATGGATATTACTAGGAAGCCACGGTTCCCAGGTCAAGGTTTGGCCTAAATGACTCTTGATACTCCCACCTACAATTAAAGAATTATATGAATAACAGTATATAAATTGAAGACTATATCAAAAAACACTTCTAGATCCAGCCACACACCAATAGAAAACAGAACAAGGAAAAGCCACATTCCAGTATGCCCGCATGCCAAGATACAGAGGAGTTACCAGCCCAAAAATTATATAACCGTGCACTTCATTCTTCAGCACAGCCATTCAGACTCAAAAATTTTGCAATAATGTAGCTTGCGTGTCCAAAATAAATAAATAAAAACAAAACAGTTCGCAAAGAACAAAACTTTAGATGAATTTACTCGTTTCCCTCGATAATCCGTGCTTGTTAATAGCATAATTTTCGCAAACTTCACAATACATGCCGCATAGCAGATCTCCCAACATTATCATCACCAAAGTTGCTCCACCGCACTCCCAGGACAAACCAACAGCTCCTCATCAGGTTCATTTACGCGCCAATCAAATGTTTAATTGTTCCATTACCGCGAGAGACGTATTGACTGTCAAAGGACTTGCTTCACAAGAAGAGGTATTTAATTTAAGTTAAAACTAAATCCCAAAGCAAAAACAAGAATATCAGCACAATCATTGACTCCATAAAGAAAATACTGTGTAAAACATCAACAAATTACAGACATATAGGCTTTCAGTATTAATAGAAAAAATGCCAATTATAGATACGCTTTTCTGCAGTAAAGTCGAATGTGAAGACGCCATTCTCTGATGCAGTAACTGAAATATAAAAAACGGATGCCAGTCATTGCAAAAGAA